AGTAGTTGTACTACTAGCTGATACCCAGCTACAGTGAGATGGAATGAAAATCTATCGCTTATAGGTCATCGACACATTCCCTATAGTGACAAGAGAATAGACAGCCTCTAGGAAGGTACTCTCAGTCCTCAGCATGCAGATGAAGAGTTCCAGCATCGTCTAGATAATTAGAGCCATCAGACCATTATTAAGCGTGATATGGGCGGCGTGGCGACAAGGTGAGTGGCAATAAGGGTATTCGGTGCGAAATGGTGCGTGGCCGTAGAAGCAATCAGCGGCGATCCCGGACTGCCTGCAGGACGAGACAGCAAAGAGAGCTGCCATGCTCAATCCATCCTCCACACACCTCCGCTTTACTGCGTGTTTAGGCTGCTCATCCGTGGGCTGCGGCATGGAGACGCTTGACTAATGCTGTTCATCTCTACAGTGACCATCACATTTGTCCGCCCGAGTCTTGTCGACAGACTTTAATCTCAGCGTGATCGTCTAAACGAAGCTATGTTCCAGTCATTTACGGGGAACTCCCGCCGTCCACGGCAGGTTAACCTCGGGGGCCGCAATACGAACCCTTTCGCCGCATACCCCTCTGATCGACAAAATCCTCACGGCGCAGGCCCTCAGAATACTCTTGCGATTGCCCAACAGGAACGGCTTGCGAGACAGCAGGAAAGAGAGCGGTTGACGGCGAGCCGACTCGTCCAACGGACATGGAGGGGTTATCGGAGCCGGAAGATAACGCGCAGGACGTGGCGCAACGAGTGGGATACCACGGAGAAGAAGCAGGGCAAAGATCATGTTCCCTCCTTTGAGATCCTCGCCCAACAGCCTGATGTTGTTCTGGAACCATCCCTCCGATACGGAACAGCCGCGGACTGCTTATCGCAGCTTCGTTTGCTGGTCCAGTTCCTGGAACCGTGGGACAGTGGGGATATTGCCCGGCTGGTATACTTCTCCGAGGCATTTCAGAGGACATTGCATGAAGTACCCTCGATTGCGACCGAAGGGGAATGGACCACGCCGCTGAAGAAACTGGCGAGTTTGACTCTCCGTGTCTTGCGGTCAGTGACGTCGCCAACGGTACCGGTTTTCGCGGTTCAACATCTCCTTCAGCTACTCGTCTTTCTCACGGGGCTGATACCGAAGCACATGGCACGACTGGCCAAAGAATACTACTCGGTTATGGTGATTCTCACAACAGACTTTGAATCAATATCTACGAGGTATAAGCTGTCCAGGGATAGCCTTACTGAGAGTGTGCTTGCTTTGCTTCGACCTATCACATCTGAGACTCTTACGGCCTACGAGTGGTTTGCGAAAATCTATCTAACCATCCCCAACCTCCCGGAGTATATTGGAAGTCTGGATGGATTGGCAAACAATATCAATTATAAGTTGCTGACCTCCGCCTTGGGGCCGTTGCAAACGTTGTTCGGAGACCGACCTAAGAGCGCAGAAGATGTAGATGCCCGTCTTTGGCTGCTTGCTTATTTTATATTCTTTCACCGTTGCGCTCTGGGAGGCCAGACAGGTCGTCCGGCTCCAGAACCAGGTTTTGTGAAGGTGGTATCGGAGCTGCTGAACTCTACCGCCGTGCATATATCTCGGCGCTTAGAGTCGGAAGAGTCTAATGACTACGACGAGGCCCCTGAACAAACGCCACTGCACCCGTTCATCAAGGAGCAGCTAGTTAGCCTTGTGAATCAGAGTAATATTACGGGGCTTCTTTCTCAGCTACACACTACACATCTCTCTCAGGGTGAGCTGGCAAATGCTCAATCGGATGCATCTAAAGAAGCCAAGATTCTTGCAACATACGCTCTGACGCTGCTGAGAGTATTCCCTCGCCGGGGTGATGACATTCGGATGTGGTTGTATTTGGGATCGGCGACTTCGAGTGACCAGCTGACAGGCCAGGAAGGCTCAAGAATACCCGCGATCAAATACTTTTGGCAAGCATCAAAGGCTAGCAGAATATTTGCTGCCATTAGTCAAGATTCGACGAAAGTGTTGCCTCTGCTGAAACCGGCCGAGGAATCGCAGGGTACTCGGTCTCCGGAGATATCCCAAGTCGAAAGGGATGAAGAATGGACGATCATACTTCTATTCCTCGAGCTCTATACTTTCGTTTTGAAAGTTATGGATGACGAGGAGTTCTTTTCCAGCGAGTCTTCTTTCACCGCCTCCTCGAACACAAGAGTTTCCTGGACCAAGGAGAGCGCCCTTCCACTGAAAGACATCAAAGATATGACAATATTTCTCAAGAACCTAGGTTTCACATTGTATTGGAACTCAGCAGATCTGAGCGAAAAAGAAGCGACTCAAGACACTGGGGGCATTCGAAGCTACTTTAGCTCATCTGCAGCGCCACCGGACGCTATTGCAAGCGTGAGGGACATTGAAATGAAGAACAAAGAGAAAGGCCTCCCCGGCGTCACGGGAATTCCGCTGGACTACTTCAAGGGTCTAGTCACTGGCCTCTTGCGGATGATCCATGAGCGTGATTCAAGGCGGAAATTCCTTCCAGACGGGCATTGGTTGATGACAAGCCGCTTCGACATGGAAGGCTTCATCCCTGCCGTTGTAGCAGAAGAGGAGAATAGGCACCAGCTGCAAGATGAGGATGAAGAGGAGGAACAGGATGATCTAATGAGCGATGCCTACTTCGAGCCTTCCCCAGGCCTGATCGGTACCGGCCGCGCTCAACAGACACGTCGCATCGAGGCACTGAGACGTCGCCAACAACAGGCTGCTCGCCGGAAGCAGCTGGAGGCTGTGGCCCCGAGGATGGAGATTCTCCGCAACATGCCTTTCTTCATACCTTTCCCGACGAGAGTCCAGATCTTCCGCGAATTCATCTATCGGGATCAAATGCGTCGAAGACAGGGGTATATCGACCCAGATGCCTGGCGCATGTCTGTGGCGCAAGCCTCAATGGGCCGTCTGATCGATGGGCGTCCTGCTGTGCAAGATATACTGAGCCGGCACCATGCCAATATCAGGCGCGAGAGCATCTTCAAAGACGCATTCGATGAGTTCTACGAGTTGGGGGATGGGTTAAAGGAGCCCATTCAGATCACGTTCATTGACAAGTTTAATACAACCGAAGCTGGTATAGATGGTGGTGGTGTGACCAAAGAGTTCCTCACGAGCGTGACTAGTGAAGCCTTTAAATCGACAAGTGATCTAAATCTATTTGAAGAGAACGATCAGCACCTGCTCTATCCGAACCCGGCTGCGGTTGAGCAGCGACGAGAGCTTCTGAGACAGCTCGGCTTTGTCGAGAACACTGCAGAATGGAACGAGAACGTCCGTGATCTACTTAGGCGCTATGAATTCCTAGGCCGTATCATTGGAAAGTGTCTATATGAGGGCATCTTGGTGGATGTCAACTTTGCCCCGTTCTTCCTGCTGAAGTGGGCTTTGACGGGCGGCACGGGTTCGGCCCAGCGCGAGACAGCCTACCGCGCCAACCTGAACGATCTGAAGGATCTGGACCAGGGGCTATACCAAGGATTGGTAAGTGAACAGTGGTGTTCTTGAAATCGTGTGCCAGCTGCTAACCGATGCTGCAGTTGCAACTGAAGAACTATCCGGGCGATGTGGAGGACTTCTCGTTGAACTTCACCGTCACCGACACGATACCGCTTCCCGACGGGGGTAACCGTACGACTACCCGAGACTTGAAAAGCCATGGGTCAGACATACCTGTTACGAATCAGAACCGGTTGGTTTATATCTCTTACATTGCTCGCTACCGGCTTCAAGTCCAGCCTGCTCTGCAGACCAACGCTTTCCTCCAGGGCCTGGGACAAATCATCCAGCCGTCGTGGCTGTCGATGTTCAACCAGACGGAGCTGCAGACCCTTGTGAGTGGCGATTCAGGAGACATTGATGTAGCCGACTTGCGACGCAACACGCTTTACGGAGGAGTATACACGATCGGGGACGACAAAGAAGAGCATCCCACCGTCAAGCTGTTCTGGGAAGTGATGGAGAAGATGTCCAACGAAGAAAGACAGAAAGTGCTTCGATTTGTGACATCGACCCCCCGGGCTCCTTTATTGGGTTTCAGCCATCTCAATCCTCGATTCAGCATTCGAGACTCGAGCGAGGATCAAGAACGACTCCCCAGTACAAGCACCTGCGTGAATCTTCTCAAGCTGCCCCGGTATACCAACGCCAATATCCTCCGGGAGAAGCTTTTGTATGCGGTCAATTCCGGAGCTGGATTTGATCTGAGCTGAAGGAGGTGGAGATTTTGCATGACCCGGATCGGTCGATGCAATTATACATGCAGCGCATTTAGTGAATAATCATGAGTAGCATAGCTGAGGCGTCCTGGTGATCCATGTGTCCTGTTTTTTCTGTGGTCGTTGCTGTGGTTGTTGATAACGCGTTTCATTGTGTGTCTATTTTTCCGAGGATGAGTGCTATTTCTAACTCGAGTCCTGGTATCTACTACACTTGCTTTCGTCTCGGGGCTTTGTTCATATTGCGAGGGGTAGCTTCGACCAACCAGATAGATAGCTTTCATCAATACTTGTTTCGAGACTGGTTCGCTTTGTTAGAAATTCTTTGTTTGATTGAAGGGCCGACCTCTGCAGACAGACTGTGGCTGCTGTTCCATGCTCCCGTGCCAATGAAACCATGAATGGATGGTGAAAGAATGACATGGATGGATGATGGCGATATTATTGATTGAGTGCCTGATGGTGGCCTAGTCTAGTTTTAATGCCTGAGGCACATGTAACTTAAAGATCCTTCAATGTGTTAGTTTGGTTTTTTTCTTTTCTTTTTTTTTTGCCGCTCGAGTTTAAAGCCCGAAAAGGAACCCACCATTTCCGTGAAGCGCCGTTCAAGCGGCGAGGACCATAGACTATTTAGGTTTAGCGCCACTTGCCGACCCAAAGACAGCAAAAGAAAATTTTATCGTTTTGAGTTTTTTTAGATAAAAAAAAAAAAAAAAAAAAAGGCAGGCAGAATTTCAGTCCGTCAGTCACAGTCAGAAAAGAAGGTCTTTTTCGGGGCGATTTTCATTCTTCGCCGTCTCTTCTCTTCCTCCTCCATCCGCTCTTCTTCCTTCTTTCTTCCTTCCCCAAAAAAATCCATAAAACCCTTCTCTGCTGTCTATCCCCAGCATCCTTTTCTCTTCTTCCTCCTTTTTCATATCTCCCTTTTTCGAAAACTCCTCGAAAAAAACCTCCTAAAAAAACCGGAAAAAAGAACAAAAAAACCAAAGTAATTATTCCCTCCCCTTCGTCCATCAGAATTTCGTTGTTCCGTGTTGGGGCCCTACTGTGACTTTTTCCCACTGCCTCCGAAAAGTTGTGCGGTGTGTGTGTGTGGGCGCGCGTGTTTTGTGCGTGCATCTGGAAGTTTTCCCTCAACCGCATATTCTTCATCCCTCGTGATCGTCTTTTCGCTTCACTTCCCCATCCTTCTTTCATATCAGCAGCCGTTGTCTTGACGGTCTTTCTCGGTGTCTAAATTGAGGTTGTACTTTTGTTGCGTGGATCATCATTACTCCTCCACCATCCCCTCCTCTCTCTGTCGACCTTCCCTTGCCTGGCTCTATCACAGTGATAGTGTGACCGCCTGGGAAGGAAATCCCCGTCTCCATCAGACAAGCCCACACTGCCTCTGTGTTTTATCTTATCCCCTTGCTCATCTCCCGCTGTCATCATTTGTCTCTTCTTCATTGTCTTGCGATTGTTCTCGTTCATTGTTGCTTGAGAGCTTTGTTCCAATCCTCCAGTTTGGTCGCCTGTTACAACTTGTCCCCCTCCCCCTCCTCACACACACTCTCGTATCTTCATCATCGAACACTGTGCTAACATCGGTTTTCCTTCTGGTCCAACAGTAACACCACAAAAATGTCTGCCGACGTCTCTACCACCCCCGCCGCCGAGAACGTCAACGGCGCCGCTGAGGCCAGCCCTGCTCCTGCTGCTGCTGCCCCCAGTGCCACCACCCCCGAGGTCACTGCCGTTGAGAACTCTACTCCGGCTCCCGCTGCCAACCAGCCTCACTCGGCTTCCCTCTATGTCGGTGAACTCGACCCCTCGGTGACCGAGGCCATGCTCTACGAGCTCTTCTCTTCCATCGGCCAGGTTGCCTCCATCCGTGTCTGCCGTGATGCCGTCACCAGACGCTCTCTTGGATACGCCTACGTTAACTACAACAACACCGCCGATGGTGAGCGTGCTCTGGAAGACCTCAACTACACTCTGATCAAGGGCAAGCCCTGCCGTATCATGTGGTCCCAGCGTGACCCCGCTCTCCGCAAGACTGGCCAGGGCAACGTCTTCATCAAGAACCTGGACAGCGCCATTGACAACAAGGCTCTCCACGACACCTTCGCTGCCTTCGGCAACATCCTCAGCTGCAAGGTCGCTCAGGATGAGTTCGGCAACTCCAAGGGATACGGTTTCGTCCACTACGAGACTGCTGAGGCTGCCAACAACGCCATCAAGCACGTCAACGGCATGCTGTTGAACGACAAGAAGGTCTTCGTCGGCCACCACATCTCGAAGAAGGACCGCCAGAGCAAGTTCGAGGAGATGAAGGCCAACTTCACCAACGTCTACATCAAGAACCTCGACTCTGAGATCGATGACGATGAGTTCCGCAAGATGTTCGAGAAGTTCGGTGAGATCACCTCCGCCACCCTCAGCCGTGACCAGGAGGGCAAGAGCCGTGGCTTCGGTTTTGTCAACTTCTCTACCCACGAGAGCGCGCAGGCCGCCGTCGAGGAGATGAACGACAAGGAGATCCGCAGCCAGAAGCTCTACGTCGGTCGTGCCCAGAAGAAGCACGAGCGTGAGGAGGAGCTGCGCAAGCAGTACGAGGCTGCCCGCCTGGAGAAGGCTTCCAAGTACCAGGGTGTCAACCTCTACGTGAAGAACCTGACCGATGACATTGATGATGAGAAGCTCCGTGAGCTCTTCGGACCTTACGGCACCATCACCTCTGCCAAGGTTATGCGCGACACCAACGTCGAGCGCGACCAGTCTCCCGACTCTGCTGGTAAGGAGAAGGAGGCTGACAAGGAGAACGACAAGGAGGCCACCCCTGAGGCTGAGAAGGCTGAGAAGGCCGAGGAGAAGCCCAGCGAGTCCTCCGAGGAGAAGGACAAGGAGGCCAAGAAGTCTGACAAGAAGCCCTTCGGTAAGAGCAAGGGTTTCGGTTTCGTCTGCTTCAGCAGCCCCGATGAGGCTTCCAAGGCCGTTACCGAGATGAACCAGAGAATGGTCAACGGCAAGCCCCTCTACGTTGCCCTTGCCCAGCGCAAGGATGTCCGCCGCAGCCAGCTCGAGGCTAGCATCCAGGCTCGCAACACCATCAGACAGCAGCAGGCCGCCGCTGCCGCTGGTATGCCCCAGCCTTACATGCAGCCCGCTGTCTTCTACGGCCCCGGCCAGCAGGGCTTCATCCCTGGTGGTCAGCGCGGCATGGCCTTCCCCCCTCAGCCCGGTATGGTGATGGGTATCCCCGGTGGACGCCCCGGCCAGTACCCCGGTCCCTTCCCTGGCCAGCAGGGTGGTCGCGGCATGGGCCCCAACCAGCAGATTCCCCCCAACTTTGCTCAGGGTATCCCCATGGGCATGCAGGGCCCTGGTGGCATCCCTAACGGCATGGGATACCCCCAGATGGCTCAGGTGCAGTTCGGACGCGGCGCTGGTGGCCGTGGTCAGGTCCCCGGAATGCCCATGGGTCAGGGTATGCGTGGCGGTCCCGGTTACGGTCAGGGCCGTGGTGCTCCTGTTCAGCAGGGTCAGATGCGCCCTGGCCAGGGTGGTCGCGGACAGAACGCTGCTGCGCCCGCTGGTCCTCAGGAGGGTGCCGCTGGTGGTGTTAACGCTCAGACTCTGGGTGCCGCTCCCCCGGCCCAGCAGAAGCAGATGCTCGGCGAGGCTCTCTACCCCAAGATCCAGGCCCAGCAGCCTGAGCTGGCTGGTAAGATCACTGGTATGCTTCTGGAGATGGACAACACCGAGTTGCTCAGCCTGTGAGTTTTTTTCCCTTCTGCTCCATTTGACTGTCAGTTCTTGTTGCTAATATATTATTGTAGGCTTGAGGACGAGGAAGCCCTGCGCGCCAAGGTCGATGAGGCCCTTAGCGTTTACGATGAGTACATGAAGAACAAGGGCACCGAGTCCGAGGCTCCTGCCGCTGAGGCTGCCAAGCCCGAGGCGGAGAAGGAGGCCTCGACCGAGGAGAACAAGGCGTAAATCCGCGTCTCATCTCCTGCACCGGTGGTTTGATTTCAGCAGTCTGCCATGTCGGACCTTTTTGACTCCCACCTATTTTTGATGACCTCTTTTACCTCTTTTACTCGAATTAACGATTTCACCTCTTATTTTCCTCCTATCCGACACCTCCTTTCCATTTTATCCACCCCCTAACCTTTCCACTTTTTTTTTTTTTTTTTTTAACACCTCTCTTCTCTTTCCCTCCTGGTCCTGATATCCCTCGGTTCCCAAAAGTTCTTTGTTAGTGGTGTCATCGGTCCATGATTAGCGAGCGACATCACCTTGACCGGATTTCCCGTCTCTTTTCCTTTCTCCTACTTCCTCTTGAAGGGCGCTTTGAGGGTTCTTTCCCTGTCAATGTTATAGTGCACGTGATGCAAGAGGGCGCTGGGCAAAGGAAGGCGGGCCAATTCTGGGAACGGAGATGAAAAGTTGTTCGGATGCCATGGTTCTCTTATTTCATGTCACGAGAGGGAGGAAGTTGTGACGTCTTTTCTCTTCCTATCCCCGCCATACTACCTACCTCGTATCCTACGATATGACACGAGTGTAATATAGACTTATGACTTCCTCACGGGATCTTTCTCACGTATTCTACGTAATATGTCGACCTCCGTTTCTATTTTGTAGACGTAACTATTTGTATTTACACGGTTCCTGTACCTCATAATATCCACTATCATACATCCTCCCCTGCCCATATATACTCAAAACATCATGTTGTAGTATACTCAACGACCCCTCAAAAAGAAGGATACTGCTGCCCAAACATATCCGCCAGATCATCAAAGTTACTCCCTTCGAGCAGATCCACAATCCCGAAATCAAACTCTCCCACCGCATCTCCATTATTATCATTCGTAGTACTAACCCCCTCCGCAGAGAACAAACGATCCTCGTGAGACAGATGTGCATGGCTACTAGTGTTAGCAGGTTCATGCAGGCCAGATGTTGTAGCAGCAGTAGTAGTAGCAGGGGTTCTCCTTCCTGCCCGTCCTCTTGCATATTCTTCATTCAAGTTGGTCGTGGATAGCGAGTTAATGGGAGTGAAGAAGGTAGTCTGGTGAGGATCTACTACTACTTTTCGTCGTTTGTTGGGTGATGATGATGGATCACCTGCGGTGGTGGTATTTTCATGGATAGTCCGAGATAGAAGGGAAAGCGCCCTGTGGCAGTGTTTGGCTGCATCCCATTGCGTGGACATGGTGTGCAGAATTGTGAGACATTTGGTAATTTCTCTGGTTTACGGTTGTTAGTGGGGTGGGTTGGTAGGTAGGTTGGGCGGGTGTGGGGTGCATGCAGGTTAGGGGGGTTTTGTGAGACAATTGTGCAGGAAGAAGATCGGGGGAGGGTAACGTACTGAGCTCCTTTGGACAGGACGTATTGGCGGAGTTGGCATGCAAATGCAAGGACGAGACCTGACATCCAGGCAGCAGAGAGGAAACCGGGCCAGAAGAATGATTGACCGCTTTCTTGTTGCGTCGTTAACGCGGAGATGATCTCCCTTGCGGCATTGATGCAGGTTTGAAGCCCGGAGCAGAATTCGGGGGTGGATGGGCTGAGGGAGAGGGAGGGGCGGTTGATTAGGAGGATGAGATGTTGGTAAAGAACAGTGAAGAAGGGGGCGAAGTTGAATGCGGCGGTGGTTGTTGCTGCTGGGGAGGATGAAGGGGGTTGGTCGGTGGATGACTGTTGTGGCAGTGGTTGTTGTTGGCCTTGAAGTGTCTCGATGGAGAGATTGTTCCACCATTTATGGACGTCTGTGATGAGGAATAGCACGGAGCTACGTGGGACGGAGCGCACAGTAATAGATTTGTGGAAGAGCTCGAGGGCTCGTCCTGTCAGGGTGCCGGACTCGACGTAGCTTGCAAAGGCAAGTTCGCGGCGGTTTTGCTGGGCTTCTTCGGCTGAGGAGCTGCTGTGGGCTGAGAAGGCATGCGGTGAGGTGTTTTCAAGGTGTTGGTTGCTTGTGAGCTGGGAGCGGTGTTCCCTTTGCTCAGCATACGACGTAGACCGGACGAAATGGGATCTATTGTACATTCCTGGTATATGGATTTCAGGCGCATTGGGTGAACAGACATCGATATCCGAGTCTTGCACACCGAGGGGCAGCCCAAGTGCCTGGCTTAGGTATCGATCAATAGCGTAGGCACACCAAAAGATCCTCTTGCGCAACTGTCTGTCGTGGGTTGTGAGCTCCTTGTATCGGTACGGACAGCGATGGAGACCAGCGTGCAGCATGGAACGCAGCATGCAGCCACCTACGGTGGAGGCTGTCCGGAGGGACATCCTTGCAAGCAGATATAGTTGGCAAGCAAGAAGTGCCTGCAAGGACAACATATCATGTTTACTAGTCAGCGTCCCAAGGAGAGAATGCATGCTGCTGGGCGATTCAATCCGAGACTCCAGCGGGAGATTGATCTCCGGATGGACAGAATTGGCCAAATTGAAGATACACTGGAAGATTGTTGTCCAGCAAACATGTCGGTGATCGGCCATCGGTGTGTTACGGGCTGGCTCCTGGCGATCTTCCGAATAGAGTCCCTCCATGGCCTGTAAAAAAGTAGGGCCATGTAGAAAAGGGAACAAAGGATGCCAAACTTTGAAGTACATCATCATGAGTTTCCGAGCTGTATCAAGCGGGGGAGCGTTCCCCAAGACCGCTGCCACTGCGGAATCATATGCCCATCGGCACGGAAACTGGTCATTCTGCAGTGCAACCGGGGACGTCTTATGCGAGGCATCACTGCCTACCAGGGTATCCTCGGGCTGGGGGAAGTCTTGAGCAGGCGATGAACCACTCGGATCTAGACTTTCGGAGAAAGCCCGTCGGACGGTATTGATGAAGTAGACACCACTGGAGCTACCGACAAATTGGCTCTCATCCTTGGAATGCGCAGTCAGGGAACCAATCTCGGATGGGCCATTGGTAAGGTCCGGAGGCTCCATTCTCGTGGGATCATGATGCTGCCGTCGCGGATAAGGAGAGAGCATGGAAGAGAAGATGGCGTTGAAGTCAAGGATCTCGGATTGAACTGCGAGACGCAAATCCGGGTGCCTGCTTAGTCATGGATAGAGCACAGATGGGGCACCACCACCATCAACATTTCTGATGTTATGAATATCAATCCCTGGATATTTAGTGATTTTCTCTAGGAGGACCTGCTATTTTAAAGGCGTATGACTCACTTCTGGTCTCTCAACCGTCAGAGGGTGAGTTGACTTTTATGATGTGGATGTCTAATGCTGACCAGCCTATACTGCTTGCTAAAATTGTTGGCAAGAAGTGATCACCCTGTTCCACGGCATAAATGCCTAAAGGATAGTGTACCAGATTGGGAGATAGATCTGTGTATCGTGTTTGGAAATGACTGTGACATGACCTTGGTACTACTAACTGGAGGTGACCGCACACTAGAAGCAGGGAAAGGCAGGAGTCTATCTAGCTGTAGCTTAATATGAAACAAGGCTGTTTCTCGAGGATATGATTCCTATTAGAACTTATGAAGTAAGACTAGAGGACGTTGCAGTCTGACTATGAAACCTTCCACTCGATGCTATGCTTGACAGGAAAATAATCGCATCTATACCACCTCTTTCCCAGTACCGTCACACAGGGCAAGAAACCCGGGCAGAATGTCAAGCCGAAAACGCCAGTTGCCGTATGTTTGCTTACGATGAAGCCAACTGCTGTTCAATTTCTTTGCAAACTGCATCCACAACTCCCTGAGTATTCGCCGAGCCCCCGAGATCCGGTGTCAGAATCCCAGCAGCGCACACCTTCTCGACACAATCCATCAACTTTTTGGCAGCATCTTTCTCACCCAACCAGGCTAGCATCTCCGCAGCGGACCAGAAGGTGGCCACCGGGTTGGCCACGCCCTTTCCCATGATGTCAAAAGCGCTTCCATGGACCGGCTCGAATAGCGAGGGATTCTTGCGGGTAGGGTCGAGGTTGCTGGATGGTGCCACGCCGATGGAACCAGCCAAACCAGCTGCCAGGTCAGACAGAATGTCCATATGCAGATTGGTTCCCACAATAGTATCCAACGACTCCGGTTTCGAAATCATGCGGAGGGTCATGGCGTCCACCAACATCTTGTCCCAGGTGACGTCCGGGAAGTCTTTCGCAACCTCCTCCGCGACCTCGTCCCAAAGGACCATTCCATGGCGCATGGCGTTACTTTTGGTGACGACGGTCAGGTGGCGACGCGGTCTGGAGCGTGCTGTTTCAAATGCAAAGCGCATAATTCTTTCAACACCAACTCGTGTGAAGATCGCCACCTCTGTCGCAGCTTCCCATGGCTGACCTGTGTGGCTGCGTCCGCCTTGGCCACAATACTCCCCCTCGGAATTCTCTCGCACAAGGACCCAATCAATGCCATTCACAGCTGTGGTCAGAGGTGACTTGGTTCCGGGAAAAGTGCGCACAGGACGGACGTTGGCATATAGTTGCAATGGACTGCGAAGTGCTAATAGCAGGCCCCATAAGGAGACATGATCGGGTACGTCTAGATTGGTTAGTGCGTTTATTGCAAAAGTGTATTTGTCGTGTCAGGATCGGATATTCATACCTGGATGTCCCACAGAGCCAAACAAGCCTGCGTCGAATTGTCGCAGAGTGTCCAAGTAACCTTCAGAAACATATCGACCATGTTGCTTGTAGTATTCAGTGCCCCATGGGAGATGCGTAAATTCAATGTTGAATGTGTTCAACGTCTGAGCGAGCTTGTTAACCACTTCAATGGTCGCTCGCACTACTTCCTCGCCAATGCCGTCACCCGGGATGGATGCGATACGATAAGTAGTTTTCTCTGTAGTCATTGTGTCTTTGCAAGTCCAAAACACAATAGTAGGAGCTGAAGTGAGGAACCTATCTCTGGCTATCAATACTGGTTTGATCCCCGCATCTTGATGCTCTATATACTTCCCCGCTCCGGCTATTACTCAGGCTGAAGGTTTGTCCTGAGCATGTCGCCATAGCTTCGCCGCACGCGACTGTATTCGTGCCTCGTACTTTCACGTTTTGATATGCACTATTAGCGAGTAGTTTATTTTCGTTGGCTTATGCAAATGGAGCTAGTATGATATGGAGGCAGTGATGGATACTGATGTGCTTATATAATCAAGACTATACCGAATCAGTGGCTACCGCACAGGCCGGCTTCCTAGCCTGGTCTCCATATGCCGTTCTGCGATGGACTGGCTGCTATGGATGCCACAACAACCAACGCGTATAATGTATAGATGCTGAGTAGATAATAGGGTGTGCAGAGCAGGGTGATTGTTGATCCCTCAAGGACAGGCACAGGCACTGCTCACAGAGGAAGCCACGCGTCGGCTAAGCGTTCAGCCGTAAGAGGTCTCCACCGTCCCTGCGCTTATCCCGAAGCGGCAGCCACGATCGACCCGAGTTGCTTAGCCTTTCTATGGCGGCAATCCGCTGCTCCATAACGCTTTTCCTCGAGCGCCCTCTTAATCCTGCCCTCTGGCCGATACTACGTTGATCCCCGAGCGGAGCCGGTCAATCTACTGCATACTTTACTGCGTCACTCCTCGTTCAAACTATTAACCGGTCAACAATGGCGCCTGCAAAGCCGAACAAAGTGTCTCGCATCACAGTGGCTTGTAATTCCTGCCGGTTTCGGAAACAGAAGGTGAGATTATATCTGATCCTCGTGATTCTTCCCATCTAACAGTCTATGTGTTTCTAGTGCAGTGGGAATAAGTAAGTAGGAGGTCCCTCGTTCTTACTTCAGTCTTTTACTCATGCAATCCAACCTGCAAGGCCAATTTGTACTCAATGCGACCAGCACAATCGGCCGTGCGACTGGCCCGAACAGTTGAAACGGTAAGCTACGCCAACTGCTGGAATTTAAAGTGTACCAACCTTATACCTCTTAGTGGCCCGGCAAAAGGTTATATAGAAGCCTTGGAGCATCGTCTCCATGAAACAGAAAGTCTGCTTCTGAATCTACTCGCCCAAATCCCAGATTCTCAGCTCTCTGCTTCGGTTCAGGGAAGCCAAGATCGTTCAAGCAGGCATAGGAACAGCGGCAGTCCGCCACAAACGTACTCATCATCATCTTCCCGCCTCGGAAAGCGAGGCACCGACTATTGGAAGAAGTTTCCTCTACACACTGTCCAGGACATCCGTGACTGGCAGAATGATTGTTTGAGCAATGAAGGAGATGGTTCAACACGACACTCTTTGGGACCTGAAGCCGTTAAGCGTCCTTCTGCCTCACAGTCTGAATACCAACCGGAGACTGTATCTCCAAAAGATCAGATGCCTGAGTTTCAAGGCTATCGCGAAATGCCTACGCTACCACGGATACATCAGATCGAGATACCAAACAGCCCGATAGATGCCGGTTCATCGCCGGCCAAAGTTGCATATGGCAGTGGATTCGATGGTGAGGCCAGAGAGAATCGTCCACGGATGGATCCTGTTTTCGAAGCAATACAGTATCAGCGCGCTCGAGCAGAAGCGGTCCACGAGTTCCCTAGTATGCAGAAACCGAGTTTGTGGCGAGGTGCACCTTCTGTGAGCTTTCAACAACAATTTCTTTGGTAGTCCATTAGACAATTGATATATAGGGCATGCAAGTATCTTATTGATTATAAACTTGGTCGGTCGCTGGGACGCCGCAACGTTATATCTCCCGCGTGGTTTACTTACAAATAATTGCTTATTTTATCATGGAGGAATCCTTGAGTCTACTTTGCTAAAGGAGGAACTATATGCTGTATATACAATGGCCTAATCGTATGCTATTTCTCTACAATGACCAAACGAGTACTATATCATGAGCCAAATCTTCAAGCTGTGCGCCACAAGCATTCGATTATAATACCGCATTACAAAGCGAGCCAAGAACCTCGTGCTATGTTCCCTAATCGGGAAGGTATGCACCCATCCGCTCCGTCTACCAAACAGAAACCCATACCAGCCGCAGCATTCTTTCCATCAAAAGTCTTCCAGCCAAACACTTCAGAGTTGATCGTTAACCTGCAGAATTATGCTCTACATATTAGCTCAATTTCTCGGATCCTACAGAGTACCTCAAACCATGCACATCTTACATCGCCATGACGCCGTCACCATTCCATCATATAGCATGAAGTATATTCGCCTCCGATCATACAAAGAACCATTATATCACTCACTCAATCATGTTAACAAGACTGCATATTTGTGGATCCCTACAAATTGAATTTTGATCTTACCATATAACATGATACTCTATAACTCATGATCTCATCATAACGCTTCTTCGAACCTACGTTATTCAGTACTACTGATGTACTTGGTTATTTAAACTACCCTCTCTTTCTTCCTCATTCCATTCCATCCTATCTTCAATCATATCTCACTTGCCTTCCAGTACCTTACAAACGAAGCATCACCCCCAAATTAACCAACCACCAAACAACAAACCCAATAATTCCCCCTTCCGTCGAGAAGCATCAACAAAATGCCCTCCAAACCAATCGCCTCCCCACCCCTCCAACCCAAGAAAGTCCACGGCGCTGTCCGCGACGACCTCCCCATCGACGACTACGAGAATGCATGGGCCCAACAGGAGGAAGAAGAGGACGAAGAACAAAAAGAGAGAAGTGGTAATATCGCCTACAACGCACCGAATGTCGCTGCCGCGAGGAGGATGAATACCGGCACTGCGCCGAATCCTGCTGAGGGGACACATAAGGGGACGACGGGGTCGGTTAATAGGTCGAAGACGGGACATTGATCTCCTTCTTTCTCTTTTCTCTTTCTCCATCAATTATCTATTGTATTGATGGTGTATACGTGTATTATGTGTGTATGGGGTTTTTGTTTAAGGAATGAGTAGTGTGTATATCATGAATCTAGTTTTGAATTTCCTTTATCCAACCAACCAGTCATCAACATCAACGTTATATACAACAATCACAATCTATAAACAACCATGCAAGATGTGTGAAGCACGAAGCACAAAAGTGGTATAATAAATTTACAGCATAGGCTTCAGATCAGCAGAAACCTTGAAAGGAGCAGCAGTCTTGCTGCGGATCTCCTCGACGGTCACGCCCTCGGCGTACTCGGCAAGAGTCAGACCCTCGGTGGGGCTGACTTCGAAGACGGCCAGATCAGTGATGATCTTCCACACGCAGCGGGGGCCGGTCAGGGGGAAGCTGCACTCGGGGAGAATCTTGGGGTTGCCCTTCTTGTCGGTGTGTTCCTGTTTGATTGTTAACGGGCATTCGACGTTGTGGATGTAAGTAAAGGATTGTGACTTACCATGGTGACGACGACCTTGGTCTTCTCGGGGTTGGAAACGAGGTCCATGGCTCCACCCATACCCTTGACCTTACCGGGAAGCATGAAGTTGGCGAGATCTGAAGATTAGATATTAGTATTGTTCATTATAACTTTGTGGTGAAGGGAAATGAGCTTACCTCCGTACTGGCTGACCTGGAGAGCACCAAGCATGGTCAGGTCAATGCGGCCAGAGCGGATCATACCGAAACTCTCGTGGGAACCGAAAACAGAAGCACCGCGACCCAGGGTGACGGTCTCCTTGCCGGGGTTGATCAAGTCGGGGTCCTCCTCACCGGGCTTGGGGTAGCCACCCAGACCCAGGATACCGTTCTCGGCCTGGAGGACGACCTCCACACCCTCCTCGACGTAGGAAGGAGCAATCAGGGGCATACCGATACCAAGGTTGACGTACATGCCGTCCTTGAATTCCTTGGCGGCACGCTTGACGATACGTTCACGACGGGCAGTGGCATCACCGGAACCTATAACACCGACATTGTTAGCGAATCTGCGCTATAAAAACCTAGGACTTGACTTGGTGACTGACCGGCCTGGAGCATCTCGTTGGGGTCCTTGGCGAAAGTGAGCTTCTCGATCTTCTTCTCGCCGGTGCTCTGGATGACCTTGTTGACGTAGATGCCCTGGAGGTGGATGCTCTCGGGGTCAATCTCGCCAACTTCGACGATGTGATCGGCCTCGACGATGGTGTACTTGGCGTTCTTGGCCATGGCCTCGTTGAAGTTGTTCATGGACTTGCGGAACTGGCAGTTACCCAGCTTGTCGGCCTTGTGGACCTTAACCAGGGCGTAGTCACCGAAAATCGATTCTTCCAGGATGTAATTCTTTCCGTTAAATTCGCGTTCTTCCTTGGGGGCGTTCTTGATAGCGACGCTACCGTCCTTGTTGTAACGCACGGGGAGTTCACCAGATTGCACTTTTCAGCGTTAACCGTTAGTTGACATCAAGGATTGAATAATAGCCATTGGAGTAAGCATACCAATTGTTCCGTAAGCAGCAGGGGTATAGAAGGCAGGGACACCAGCGGCACCAGCGGCACACTTTTCCGCAATGGTACCCTGGGGGGTCAATTCCAGAGAGAGGTCACCAGTGAGATACATTTTCTCGAAGACCTTGTTTTCACCGATAAAAGAGGCAATCATCTTGCTGATCTGCTTGCTTTCCAGCAGCTGGCCTATTATCATTATCCGTTAGACCGATTACGAACTGTGTAGTCGTTCAATTGCACTGGAGTAAACCTACCGAGACCAACACCGGGCATACCAGCATTGTTGGAGACGACAGTCAGATCCTTGATGTCCGGGCGGTCACGCACGGCATCAATCAAGGTAGTAGGGACACCAGCGAAACCGAAACCACCGACAAGAAGGGTCGAGGAACCCTTCATATCCTTGATCGCTTCCTGAGCGGACGGGCATAGTTTATCGATTGCGCGCTTGGCAGTTGAGACGGAGAAATTCCGCCTCCAGATGGGGCGGAACACCGCAGGAACAGGCCGCGACATGGTTGTCGACCAGCCTTGACAAAATAATTGAGATCTGCGGAGGGAGTCAAAACCTGGGGAAAGAAAGAAAGAAGAGAAAGAGAGAAGGACGGACAAGGCCAGCGATAAAAAGAAGCTCAGCCTAGGCCAGACCGGCTCTGCAGCATCGCGTAGCTCGCCGTTCGGCTAGTGAGCATGACGGCGCAGCCGACAAAAGCGATTATCCGCCGCCGACTTCCAGCATCGCTTTGCCGCCTTCCGAAGCCGACCCCACTGTCTCACCGCTGGGGTCGTAATGCCTCGTACGCCTGTGGGGGGGAGAAACGTTCTGCCTGCGGGGTGTCCGCGCGCCCCCTGTTGAACTCACCCCGGGTCTTCCCCTCAAAAGCGCTATCAAGGCACGCGATCGGACCGGAATGGCCTTGTCAAACGTGCTCCGAATCCACCGGTATCCCCCAATGCACGGATTGTTTCGTAGTTACTTTCTGCTTGTCAGTCAGTTAATTCAGGGTCCACCGGCGGCGATGATTGATTAGATAATCGCCCGATTGGGAGATCCCGTCACAACGACGGCGTATTTTACGATTCCGACAGCGGGACTGGCGTCGGCAAGACAAATCGGGTGAACTCGCCGATGTTCCTGGCCAGCCTTGACTCTGCCGACTTTCCCTCCGACTCGGGAGATCTTGTGGGGTCTCGATCTGGGGTAGCACATTCCCTGCTTCACAACAATTTTTTTTTTTTTTTTTGGGTTCTACATTATGAGGGTAAAGATGGACTACTCTGGCCACTTAAGATTAAAAGCATAATTATTTCGCATTCTGGTCATTCTCGATACATGCTACTGCTAAGAGAATCGGGAAACCGACAACCACGTGACCATATCCCCCTAAACCATTCTTGGCCACCAAGATAAAGATTCCAACAAAACCGATTAATGTGGTGATCAAAAATGGTCCCTTTTTTATAAAGTTTCCTGATTGACTGGAAGAATTCGCCAATTCACTGCTTGCAAATCGCAGAGAAGGATTGTATCACAGCAGTCGGTCAATTCTTGCACACTGTTGTAACTTTCAGGCCTTTCGGCAATCATTTCGTTGTAGATCCACCGGATGGTACCGGCTGAACTGACTTTACAGTTCCACCACTCCAGGGTCACCGCCTTAGCACTATACATCCGCGTGTTCGGTGTCTGCGCATATTTTTGCAGTCCGACAAAAAATTCCTCGGCCGCAGCGGCATTTGCAGCAGTCACCAGATAGTACTTTCGCATGATGGGTTCCAGCATCCCGTCGACTACGTGCTCTTGAAGGTGAACGTAGTACGGCATGATTTAGACTTGGTTAGGATTGGATGTTGTCCAGTATAAGCATATAGTGTTCCTCTTCAGTAATTCTGAGAGAGGTAAGGAAGGACTTGATTAGATTTATGATCTTGCAAACTAGACGACAGGATTATGATACTCCTTTATATGCGTAGGCGCATACTGAAATATCTGGTCTTTGTGGAATGTCCCCAATGCTGCGTAGGCCGGAACCTAGGGCATTTGCAGCGGATTGGAATATTCCACAGATATCAGTATAACGATGCAAGATGTTTGGGTTTTCATTCTTTGTGCTCTGCGAAACGATAAGTCATGTACTACAATACATCTGGGTAATCTTTGTTTAGGTTCGGAACTAGTGGCTGTAACTAACACGATGGTTACGGATATTCTCTTGTAGACATGCCAATATGCGCAATGACTACTAATTTATGCCTTGTCAGTTTTGGCGCTCTTGTGCATTTTTGCTATAAGGAGAGAGCCGGACCACTGCTATTTCGCAGTCTGTCTGAACGATTATGCAATAGGGCCTATTATCTAGGTTTATTAGTAGAATTTGCCATGTTTCGAGTTTTTCTTATGCATTTGTTTTTTGGTTGTGTTGTATGCTGAGTGCAAAGTGCTATTCGATGCTTCTTTCAGCCCAGCTTTGCACAACTCCCTGAGCTGTGGGTTCATACTCCTTTATCTTCACGTCATCACCGACGAGGTAGGTGTTTGCTTGGCTAAACACCAAAGGAGGGTCTTTTTTGGAGACAAGAATATCTCTCCATTTCAGAGCTTCACCGTCAACAATTGATAGATTCTCATAGAAGCGGCGGCAGTTGGAGACGTCAGCAGTGCAACGATAGATAAAAAGTTTTAGGAGCATGCGACCCAGTGATGATTTGCCACGAGAGATTACGCGCGATTGGTCAACTTTGACCGTCAAGCTATTCATCTCCACATCCTTTGTAACTGTATAGAGGCCGCCACTGTCGCGAAGGAGGTGTTGAAAGATGGCATAGTGTGCCTAGATGGAAGTCAGGGGAGGGTTAACATGGCAATACTATAGACTTACTCGACTATGTGCTTGTCCCCATATCTGTCGATCGCTTAGCAATACCTTCAAACACACTTAGTTCTTACCTTACCTTGGTCGTAGGATCGTAATTTTCAAGGCCTCGAAGCCCATCAACACCCAGCTGAAGATACATGTTGTAGGCGACTGTAATTCACTGTCTTAGCTCCTGTCACCTCGACAATGTAACTTACTGTCGTCAGGCTTGATCTGCTCAAGTATCTTACTCGACGATGAAGATACTGATGCTAGAGAATTAAGGGCTTCTCCAGATATATCAGGTGTGAATTTCTGGTCACCGGATCCCTAGACAAATGAGAAGAATTCAACCAGTGAACAGGCAGATTCTCACGAAGTAATTGCCGATATTGGATAAAAATCTAGCAGCATAGTCTAGGAACTTGTCTAACAACAGAATGCCGACTCCAGTTTTGGTAGCAAGTTGTTCCCAGTTCCCTTCACAGGTATTGTAGAGGTCCATAATGAAGTCGAAAATGCCATTAGCTTCTGGTGAGACTTGACGGAGGATAATTCTCGTGCCATCCTAGGCAGCCCTTAAATACAAGACGTTAGAAATCATTGCTGCGCGTTCGTGAGTGGAGACGTGTAGTACCTCGCCATATGATGAGCATAGAGCTTTTCCTGTGGGCTCAACCTGTCAAATGCGGCCGCCACCGACAATTGGTATATCTGAGGTTTCGTCGTGGTTGAAGTTGGGACTCAGTTGACTTCGTAGCTCGAGAAAAGACAATAATGGACCAGGTTGTTTCGTCGTCAAATGTTTATGCCCTCGCACATGTGACTTTGCGCGACAATCCATGCCATCCTGATAAGAAGCCGCATTTAGTTGGCTGTTGCACACTGTAATGGCAGCGTGAGATTCACGGCACACATAACGTTTGCTATTATCATGCTGTGCAAGCAATGTACTACATCAGTGCTCACTAAATTTCTATTGTCATAGACTACGGTTGCTCCCGGACCCGTATGTCTATGTGTTTTGTCCAGTGTGGAATGGCACGCAAACGGTCCCCGTTTCTGATATCCTGGGAGGAGTGGTAACCACTGAATTTCCATATCACGCATAGTAATTTTAGATGATTTTCCTATCAGACCTTGTGCTGTACCACATGTAACGTTCACAGAAGTCGAGGGATTGAAGGCATGATGAAGGCATACGCGGAACCCCACATTTCTTGCGGGGCTGCCCCCATGCATCTGTCGGCAATTCCAGGCACCTCCGCTCTATTCACATACACCCATGGCTCATTCCGAAGCCGAGCTTAAACGGCTTGCTCTCCAGTACTCAACGCGGATATCATATACAGCATTAACTGACTTTAGCTTGTGACCTTACACACTTCATATCTCCTCTTACCATGTCAGCATCCTCATTTGCCCAGTTATGTCGTATCACTCGTCCGCGGATCTCCATCTCCCCTATTGCATCTCGAAGATCCATCGGGTCCGTCAGTGCAATTGACTCGGGAATCTTCCGGACATTATTCGGAACTGAAGAAATACGCAAAGTATTTGATGATGAAGCGTACATCAAGCGGTGTGTGGATGCCGAAGCCGCCCTCGCAAGAGCGCAATCACGTTGCGATGTGATCCCATCACAGATCGGCGAGATGGTAACCCAGAAACTTCGCGAGTCGAAGCTGGACATGGAACGGCTCCGACATGAGACAGAAATTGTCGGTTACCCTATTCTTCCTTTGGTTCGTCAGCTATCTGCGATGTGCGGCGACGAGGCTGGGAAGTACGTGCATTGGGGCGCAACAACTCAAGATATCATGGACCTAGCCAGTGTGTTGCAGATCAAAGAAGGATTAAATATTGTCGAGCGCCAACTCAAAGAAATTATCAGTACCCTACGTGGACTATCTGTCAAGTACAAGGACACACCAATGGCCGGCCGTACGCACCTTCAACATGCCCTTCCTGTTACCTTTGGGTACAAGTGCGCGGTATGGCTATCAGGCTTTCAGCGTCATCTGGAGCGCCTAGAGCAGCTGAAAGACCGCTGCTTGTTGGCTCAGTTTGGTGGAGCAGCTGGATCATTGGCATCCCTGGGGACCGGGGATGCTGGACTACGAGTGCGCAAAGCTTTGGCAGAGGAGTTGGGTCTTGTGGATCCTCCCATCACCTGGCATGTTGCTCGGGACGGCGTAGCGGAGATAACTAGTTTTCTGGCGCTGATGGGTGGATCAATGGGCAAAATAGCCCTAGACATCATCATCATGTCCTCCAACGAGCTGGGCGAGGTATCCGAGCCGTTTGTGCCACACCGTGGTGCTTCCTCTACAATGCCCCAGAAGCGCAATCCCATATCAAGCGAAGTTATTCTGGCAGCGTCAAAGATCCTTCGATCAAACGCTGGGCTGGTCCTTGACGGCATGGTCGCTGACTTTGAGCGTGCCTCGGGTCCTTGGCACCTAGAGTGGGTAGCTATCCCGGAAAGCTTTGTCATTGCGGTCGGAGCGCTATCCCAGACACAGTTTGCTCTATCTGGCTTATGTGTCCACGGCCAGAAGATGCTAGAGAACCTTCACTCCACTAAGGGATTGATTGTGGCAGAGGCAGTGATGATGGGGCTGGCACCACATGTGGGACGGCAACAGGCGCATGACATCGTCTACGAGGCTTGCCGGGAGAGCATCGAGGCGAACCAGTCACTGCTTGAGTGCTTGATGAAAAAGACTGAAGTGACCTCAAAAATGAGCGAAGAGCGTCTGAGCCAGCTATGTGACCCTGTCAATTACTTGGGTGCGTCGACGAGAATGGTGGAAGATGTTCTTGCTGTCGATTAGGGATTCAAGCTATATGCATTCCTCCCTGGGCCATACTCTTAGCATAGTAATACGAACTAAATGATAGATACCTATGGCTATGCCCCATCTCTGCCATGTTCAAATAAGCTTATATGGCAGTGTCCCATAACCCCAGATGCCATCGAGGAATGGCTCCACATTCACGGAGCCGGTAGCCCCGCATTGGGGGGAGTGGACTGTGGGGAAGGGGTCAGTGAGGGTAGTCAGTACTCTTGGGCTATCTATGAGACCTGGTACACTTTCAGATCTCCTTCGAACTGCTTCCACCTCGTTGTTACCCATGTGGGTCTTTTCTCATGCGCCATGGATACTCGCACATCATCAGCTAGCCCCGATTATGCTGTCTTGCTCCACATACTCCATCTTTCTAGACGTCGACAGCTATCATGGGATCATGAGGGGCCTATCCAACCCTCAGGTTATGCATTGACGTATGTCTCAATTATGTTAATCAGCTGTTCTTGCCATCTTATACTTAAGGGCGTCTTATGCTGTTATATCCATACACTCTCAATTACACATGTCTTAATCCATCCATCCCTTGTTTGAACTCTGATATCACATAGTTGGTCCATCATGCCAGCATCCACAGCCAACCAGCGAAGGCCCATCAAAGACCTGACGAAAGTGTTCCATTACACAGACACCATGACACGCAAGCCTACCCGCGACAATGATCCATACGAATACATGGCTGGATTTGGGAACCGCTTTCAGTCAGAAGTCATCCCAGGGACCTTACCAGCCGGCCAAAACAACCCACAAGAGCCGCGGTTTGGTCTGTACACTGAAGGCCTCACGTACTCGGCCTTCACAGCACCCAGAAATGCCAACTTTAGCACTTATATGTACCGGGTGAGGCCGGCAGCTGCACACAGTATGGATCCCATTCGTTCTTCAAGTCAAGCAAATGTCCCTGACGTTGTGAAGATGGCTACAGGAACGACTGCGAGCAAAAATCAGATATCGAAAACTGCTTCCTCACACTTAATCCCAAAGTGACAGCGTTTGCTGGTCAAGCTGAATGGGCGCCATTTCCTCTTCCCATCGAAGACGAGGAAGTCGACTTTGTAGATGGCCTACACACGCTGGGGGGAAGCGGAGACCCAAATCTGCGAGAAGGTATTGCACTCTACGTCTTCATGATAAATGCGGATATGGACCGCCGGGCATACTGTAATACGGACGGTGACTTCCTGATCGTGGCTCAGCTGGGAATTCTCGACTTACAGACTGAGATGGGGATGCTGTTCCTGCAACCCGGCGAAGTCTGTGTCATACCCCGCGGAGTACGCTTCACTATCCGCTTGGGCCCCGAGCATAATGTTGCCCGCGGGTACATCGTCGAGATATGGGGTTCTCGTTGGGAGTTACCTGTTTTAGGACCCTTAGGTGGTCATGGATTAGCGAACCCACGAGACTTTCTTCACCCCGTGGCCCATATTGACGAGAACCTCCACGAGGACTGGGAAATTGTCAACAAGGCAAATGGTCAATTTAGCGTCATAGAGCAGGATCACAGCCCATTCGATTTAGTGGCATGGCATGGGAATGTCGTACCCTACAAGGTATGCAATGATTATTCTGTGATGTAGAGAAATACGATACTGACAGTCCTCTACAGTACGACCTGACCAAATTCGCCTCTCAAAACGCAACATCTATCGATCACACGGACCCGTCTGTAAACTGCGTATTGACTGCCCCGTCTAAAGACCCAGTAACGCCATTAGCCGACTTTCTATGGTTTGGACCACGATGGGATGTGGCGTCCAACACGTTCCGTCCTCCGTATTTTCATCGCAACTCGGCTACCGAGTTTCTTGCGTGTCTGTATGGAAGCGGACTCGGACGTTCTGAAGAATTCCTGCCCGGAGGAGGTAGTATCGAGGTCAGCCATACGCCACACGGCAACTTCAGCGATGACTATGTGCGTGAAATGCGCAACCAGGTGAACGATCCTCGGAGGATCTTAGAGAGTAAGACAATGGCATTAAACATCATTTGGAACAGGTTGCTGACATTGTAGATCAAATGACCATTATGGTTGAAAGTAGCCGGTCGTTTCTGTTCACCGAATATGCACGAACTGGTTGTGGGACATTCAAGGCTCAAGGTCCAGATCCCAAAGTGTGGGATGCTTTACCTGTAGGTATTCAGGTCCGCACGATGGTTGAAGCCGAGCTGATGATCTATGTAGGACAAATTCTCCGCGTATCCAAACATCAAGGAGATTCTCAGTCAAGTCAAGGCTGATAAAGAAGCATGGAAGAAGCAGCTGGAAGCGTACTACGATGATAGCAGTCTGGCAGAAATGGCTCGAGGATAACGAGAAAGCTTAGTTAGGTAAATCAAGGTGTGCGTATATCTGCAATGCCGAGACAGTCAGCTCTGAATCTTCATCTTGGGAGGCGCTACCGGCAGCTGGCTGGCGATTCGCGCACAGGGCGCCAGGCAGCAAGACCAGCTTCCCGGACAGAGAAGGGAAGCGGCGGTATGAAGTAGTATCGCAGAGATATTTGAAGACGATGTGAAGGGGATATTTGGGGCAATGGGAATCCCGGGCGAGAATCACCCATGGGAATCGGTCGATGCGTCTATGTAGAATATTAATTACAGTTTAAAAAAGATGTCTCGTCTCGTTCAGCCTTGGGAAATCTCAGGCAGATCTATCGGGATAAAGCTCAGCCTCGCCCTCAACCCCGCCCACTCTTGCCCAAAAGTGACGGTCATTCCAACAATATGCGGCCAGCAAAACTATCGTCTTCCATTGTAGCCTCTTCTATGTCAAGGGTCTGATCATTGTACAGCCCATACTCCTCCCCTATTATCTCTACCTTTTTATATCCCACTATACTTCTCCCCGCTTGTGCTCTGTGGTCTGGCAGCCATCCGCCGTACAGATGATGCCCACAAGTCCATCGAAACGCTTCATGCGCGCTCACCCCCATCAGAACCGCAAAGTACCTCCACGCCACGACGAATACAACGTCGGGTGGATATGCGTCTTGCCTATCGAGATGGCAGTTGCGAAACTGATGTTGGATGAAATACATCCACCGTTGCCCATGCCGCCTGACGATCCCAATGCATATGTCCTTGGAAGGGTTGGAAATCACAACATCGTTATTGCTTGTTTACCAGATGGCACGTATGGCTCTACGGCATCTGCAGTGCTAGAGAGGCAGGTATCCTCTAGTTTTCCGGCCATCCGCTTTTATCTTTCAGTCGGAATCGGTGGTGGCATACCAAGCAGCAAAGCAGACATTCGATTAGGCGATGTTGTAGTGAGCCAGCCGATAGGCAAATCTGGGGGGCTGATCAGGTACGATTTGGGTAAAGTATTGAGCTTGGACGAATCTTCGCGAACTGAATCACTAAATCAAGTCCCTGAGTTTCTGTTAACTGCTCTAGCTGCCCTCCAAGCGAATCACAACCTGACAGGGCTTATGGGGGGTCACGTCGCCAGATACCTTTCCGATATGCAGGAGAAACTTCCTCCTGCCGCCGCTGAAAAGTTCGCGCGGCCAGAAGAGGATTTTCTGTTCCAACCTGAATATGAACATATCGGATTCGATTCGTGTGCGGATTGCGATCGATCCAAGTTAGTTTTACGACCTGATCGAGAGCACGAAGAGCCTGTTATTCACTATGGATCCATTGCATCTGGAACTCAAGTGATGAAATACGGCCAACTTCGAGACCGAATTGGTCAGGATCTGGGAGTACTTTGTTTTGAGCTAGAAGCCGCAGGTCTCCTGGATAACCTTCCATGTCTGGCCATTCGAGGCATCTCTGACTATGCCGACTCTCACAAAAACAAAACATGGCAAGGATATGCAGCAGCTGCGGCAGCGGCCTATGCAAAGGAGCTTCTTTTGGTGGTTCCAGCCATAGAGAAAAAAATACACACTGGTAAGATTTTTCGAATCAACGTAAAATCTGTCTGGAATGCGCTCCTAAATTCCCTATACACGTGTAGCATCCTTCTCCGTTCGTGCGATGTCCCCGTCAAACCGAGCAAGAAGCACCGATGCAAGTGGATACAGCAATCCAACCCCGGGATGGAGTCGACAGAAGGAAGGTACCTTCAATGCGCCGCCAACAGATTCCGGATACGCTTCTACTACCCACCAGAAGGTTCTGCGCGGAGAAGAATACCGTACAGAATATGTTCACGATGTTCAAAGCATAGTGTCTGGTGAGGAGAGATTCTCTTCACCTCCGGCGGCAGCTAGCCCGAGAAAAGCAGAAGACTATAGCGAAGACACCGAATCTATCTACACAGCTAGGACTGGCATTTCCCCTTCGGATAAGGAGAGCTATATTTCCGAATTGGTGAATGATTTGTTCAGAAAAGTCCAGTATGATCAAGATGCCCAAAATCTTCCGGAAAGAATCCACGGCATCCTTCCTCAAGTTCTGAAAGCTTTTGCTATGAGATTTGGTCAATTTGGCTCGACTCAGATACACAGGGATATCATGGTATTCATCCGTCGACATAGAGAGTTCGTCCTTCCCCAAGTCTTGGCATTGCCTTCATGTAGATGCTGATAAAGTATCCTGACAGTGAAATTGCGAATGGGCTGAGAGTAAAATACTTAGAAGATCAGACTGAAACCCATGTGTCAAGACAAGACGACACCAAAATGGAATTAGGCGACCTCATGGATCTCTGGGATCAAAATCTAGAGGATGCAGATGATGATCTTGCCATCCCACAATTCGACAGCGGGGCAGAGAATTCAGACAGTGACGAAGATATACTGATTAAAGACGATGAGAATCTCCCTGAACATGCGACCTATAGGAAGTTAATCACCGGCAGCCCAGTGTATGAATGGCTACTTGGAAGTCTTCGGAGGAAACTTCAATTGCACCCAGCAGAGCCAAATGTTCAAGATGCTATTCGCGACCGAATCCTGACGACCCTCCCGTCATCCCGAAGAGTCAGTCGATATGACCAGCCAACAGTATAC